GATTGGATTTGAAATGATATTTTTAGCGAGTCTGTATTTGAACACACCGAATACAGCAGATATTTTTTTGTATGCATTTGTGCCGCGAAGTTATGAGAAATATTTTGTAAGAACATTTATGTTACTACGTACATATTTCATTCCACTATACTGGCAGTAGGTACTATAGGCACCGCCTGTGGTTATGTACCCACTCATTATCTATTAGGTAGGTTAGCCCGAGTGGGCAGGGAAGTGAGCACGAAAGTGAACAGCGCGAGAGTGTAAACACGAGTGGAAACACTTCCCATGCTATTGGCGCTGCCACTCGCGCTGCCCGGCGCTCCCTCGATTGTCGGTTTATCGTGCGCGAGTCAAAGGACTGGCAGCGCGAGTGGCAGGGGTAGCGGCTGAATGTAAACGTAGCATTAAAGGCAATGCCACTTCTCTTACACTATGAATTTTTTGGGGTTCTTACTAATTATGTAAAATATAATAAGTATAATTTTCTGACACCTCGGTGGTCATGCGGTCTAGCACGCCACGTCGCGGGTTCAATTCCTCGCACGGCACAAACATTTGTATTCATGTATATGATTGTTTGTATAGGTCTGGGTGTTACCTATGTATAATATGTAGGTATTATTTACAAAAAAAATAAAAAATATCTATGTATATGTATCAGTTGTCTAGTACCTACCTATAACACAAGCTTTAGTTAGCTTAACTTGGGTCTAGCTGGCGCTGCGTGAATTGTCCTGAGATTATTATATTATTATTATTACATAGTAACCTGATTAATACCTAACTATCTTCTATGTTCTTAATTAGTTAACATTTTTTTTACAATCATATCACACAAACAATCTCACAGATCTCCTATCTAGCGCACGTTATGATCCTTCTCTCTCAAATTGAAGACATTTCCTCGGGTTACTTGACACTTGTCCTTGTCACATTTCGCCCAGTGTACACAATATTAGCATAGCTTCTAAATTTAGCCTATAGCTATATTATTGTGATGTAAAATTATAGTACTTGTAGGGACTGGTCTGCTCTAATCACTATGACTGATTTCCTCTTATTAATTGCTCAATCAGTTGGTTGTATATTTAATATTTTTTCTATTTGACTATTTAATTGAATTAGTGTTACTTGGTATTTTGTATTCACACACTTAAACTTGATAATGTAAAGTAAGTAGAAAATTATTTAAACGAAGCAACACACAAGTTTCTTTCTCGTTCTTCTTGTGATGAGACAGCTTTCCGAACGAGCGGTAGATTAAAAAAAATGTAATGACTATTCAAAAGTGCTTCAATGTAAGTTTATTTGAATAAATGATTTTCTATTCTATTCTCTTCTATAGTAAAATTTCGTCAAATTCCGTTTAGTACTTTTTGCTTAAAAGAGTAACAAACATCCATATGTACATATTAATATATTCATCAATTGAAACAAAGTTTCAAGTTTGTAATATTAGTAGGATTAATTTAATGTGGGAATGTGAAAAACCAAGAGTTCGCGAAACGTTGACAACAATATTTAATTTGTGTGTGTCGCCGTCGGCTGTCGTGTATAGCCTGTATTACAATCAACCAGAGTTTCCTTTTGTTATTGTCGATCCAAGTCTATTTATGTCTGACGTTTCCTTTCCTTCGTGGTCCTCTTTTTTCTTCTTCCATGACTCTACATTTCAAAAGTCCTTACATCACGATGTAGTAATTTGAAGTAATTAACTATACCTACACATGTTCATTATTCTGTTCGTACCTACTACCTTTTTATCCGTTTGTTCTTTGAAACACCTAGATCGATTTTAAGGGTTATTCACTAGCATATATTAATACATGAGTTTAATACCTACCAGGTAGACAAACTCGCGGGTAACAGCTAGTTATTCATAAATGAATGAAAGAAAAAAATATAGTTTTATTTTAGACTAGCTGTACCCGCGACTTCATCGGCGTGGAATTTAAATTAATTTTTCTAAAATAATTATTTTATCTAAAACAAAAGTAGCCTAAGTTACTCCTAATCACATCAACTACCTGCCGAAAAAAGTCCCGTCAAAATCGTCCAGCCATTTCAGAGATTAGCCGGAACAAACAGACAGACAAAAATTGTAAAAAATGTTATTTTGGTGTATGTACCCTATTTATATTCGTATGCACGTAGTAAAAAACGGTATTTTACGGTTAAAAAATATCAATATTACAAGCAGACACTCTAATTTTATTTACATGTAGGTATAGATATATAATCAGCATTGTAATAGTCACTGTGTAGGTAACTTGTTGTTCAATGGGGACATATATGTAGCTATGTCCTCATTGAACAACAGTCCGTGGATAGTTCAGTTGCGTGGTGACTTCGGCTCCTACATACACTATTAACTCTTAGTCACGAGTTTCGGAAGTACCTATAGTTTTTTGAAAATGAGGGTCCCATCCCAATGCTGCATCTATTGAAGTACTTGAACAGATAAAAGTTATTAATAAATCACGAGTGGTTGTTTGATAACTCTACCTCTCCACCTCTACGAGGGGTCTGTTTGATTTACAAATGAATTGAGATGAGCAATGATAATCACATGCGAACTATAAATAAGTTAGGTATTTGTTATCAGAATAAAGTGATCGTAGACACAGTGTTTACTGTGAGATGTACCTACGTATACCATTGTGTATTATGATGTTTCGTAAATTGCCATCACTCGCTGTGGACTAGCTGTTACCGCAGCTTCGGCCGCGTTTAATCTATACATATAAATAAAATTGGAGTGTCTGTTTGTAATATTGAAATATTGGCAGGCTGGTATAATAAGGAGTAACTTAGGCTTACTTTTATTTTAGAAAAATCGTCTGGATCACACTTACATGACATTTATCGTTATATTTCGCCCTAATTTGTATATCTTTTAAAACTATACCGTATGTGTTATTCTGATGTGTAAGCTATTTTACTGTAAAGTTTCATCAAAATCTATTCAGTAGTTTTTGCGTGAAAGAGTAACAAACATCCATCCATAACACAACACAAACTTTCGCGATTATAATATTATTAAGATACCTATAATATATTGTACGTTGAATTTGCAATTTTACTCTTCGAGCCTTTTGTTCTGCAATAATATGGCCTCATCATAGTTAAATTAACGAATTTTTTCTATGCATTCGGAAAGTTGTGAGCAAAGTTTCAGTTAACTAAAACATATAAAAATTACTTGCCATCTTATATGAACTACAAACTTTTGTAAGTCTCGTATTATTAGAAAATCCGATAGCACATGAAATTTCATGATTGTCATAATATAAAAAATTCGCAATACGGATGTTAGTAAACGCAATTTTCAAATCATGCGCATGTAACAAGAGATTGAAACCGTTAGCCTTTTCAATGTTACCTACTAGAAGTGGTGCTTGTTCTTTAATAATAAAGTTCTTGGTAGAATTCAACGGTGTTTAACTCTCGCTCGTATTTTCGAGACAGAACTACTACAAGTCTTTGCAGTTTTTCTGTTGACATTTGTAAAATTTCAGCACCATTGAGAAATGAAAAAAAAAAGTCTGGTAGCACAATTAACCCTTCTTTTAATATCAATGTTATACGATCAGATAGTGTCATCATTTCTTTATAAAAGAGTTGGATAGGTTGCGGAATTCTTAATTCATCGCTATAAATCTCATTAAAACGGTTTTAGTATTTTGGAATTCTTTTACTTCGTAGTATAGGATCTATCTGCAACTTGTCAATATCTTTTGTTCGATGTTCAATTGAGTTGTCTCTTATTTTTTGGGCAGTATTTAACAGCCATTCATGAATGCGACGGGAACAAGCGAATTATTCTAATGAGAGTAATATTTGTAATTGAAACTTAAGAGTTGCATTATGTTTGTTGAGCAGAGAAATGAATTCAGGAAGTTATCTTGACAAGACCACGGCCACTGTTTGATGATGTCGCTAGAAGGTTCATCCACGGAATGATAGGCAGTTTGTGGAATGATGCAATACAACATCAAATAACAATACCATTTACCTTTCTCTGTATAAATTATTCTAGGGCAATTCCCTGCATAATTTAATTTGTTCTACTCGAGTTTTTCATTTAAACATACTCTCTTTGTGCATTTGAAGTTTTTATTTTACCGCCCCTTGACTTCCCGGGCTCGGGCTAATCCGCCTCTAGATTCGGGGCTGAGTCTAGGAAACATATATGAATTGCAAATTTATTCGGAATGATAAAAGGAGGATTAATAATTTAAATGAATAATAAAACGGGACCCAGAACAAATCCTTGAGATACACCCAATGACGAGAGACGTAACGCCATTCTGTTAATTATAGGATTCGATTCGTTAAGTGATTGGTTTAAATTTTAATTGTTAGTTTTAACATAATATAAATCAGATTATTTTAGCTATTGATCCTCGTCTTTACAATTTAAATAAGCAACGCCGTATATTTTAGGTAGTATAAAATATAGTCAGCAAATGCAATACGCAATATTATCTGTAAATCCAGGTTTATATCATTGTAGATCCTATATCTACATATTTTTATCTTAAAATTAGATATATGTGTTACTTTCATTTAATAATAGTTATATTTGACTGGAGACAATTGACGGATATGGACGACTGATTTCTGGGTAGGTATTATCTGTGGGGACCGTACTTCTAATGAATGAATCAACTGAAGTGCTAAGTGGTCCATTGTTAGATGGAATCGTTAAAACCTATATCGATTAAATAACATTGTCCGAGTTTTAACGGATTTTTTTGTATCAAGACCGTTAAAATTTGAGATATGTTTTCTCTATAAGTTGTTCTAATTGCGGTGTTGTAATTGTAATTGTTTTTTGTTGACAGTTCGCGCGGTGACCGCCGGCGCGGCGCGGTGACGCGGTGTGACCGCGCGGCGACGGCGGCGCGTTGCGGTGCGGTGCGTTGCGGTGCGGCGCGGTGCGTTCCGTTGCGGTGCGTTGCCGTGCGGCGGGCGGTAGCGGCGGGGGCGGCGGCATGGGGCGCGCGCGCGGCCCGCCGGCGGCATGGCGGTGAGCTGCCCCGAGGTGATGTACGGCGCCTACTACCCGTACCTGTACGGGCGCGGTGCCGCGCGCTCCTTCCACCACGCGCCGCACTTCCAATATGATCGAGTGAGTACACACATACATTTTCTTATTATCGTGTGATAAAATCTTCAAAACACCGGTGAGGGGGTGTGTACGATTCGTACCTAATAAAGAACCACACAGTATACCTCCGAGCATTTCTGGAGTTGTTAGGTCGAGTTAGCCTTCTACCACTACTACTACACTAAATGGGAAAGGGCGAGCCCCATCTCGTTGTTAGAGCGATCTATTTCGCCCTACTCAATTGCACTTCCGGGGCATTTAGTTGGGGCGCTGCTCGAGGCGATCACCTCGGCCCCATCCACAGTATATCCATATCGCACTACACCGACATAACTGACAACCGACTGTTTTGAAGTTGATTAAAAAAAAAAAAACAAATATATTACAATCTAAAAATGTAATGAGTCTGTGGTCTGTATTCAGTAGTATTAGAGAGTTGTTAAAATTAGTGGAATAAAAAGTTTGTTGAGAATAAAAATTGTGTGTTTGAGTTTTGAAGGTTGTTTTAGTGAAATAATTCCTTCATATTAAGTGGTCCTTACGATCCGGATAAGTTTAAAATAAAAAAGAACTTGTATTTTGAGTGATATTATTAAATAATTGAACATTTAATAAATACATTGAGCACAGTGTAATTAAGTGAGCGCGAAAATAGATCATAGACAATACCGGTACAGACGTTCCGTTGGACTCAGTTCATAAAGTAACTATTACACAATATTTTATTTGAAATAGTGATTATTGACTTATAATATCGAAACATTTTTTTTTGTTTTAAAAACATTTAACATTTATTCAGTGCATAAAAAATATTTAGAAAAATGGAAAATTTATTAGTGCTTCAAGAAAATAATTATTCTATCTTACAAAAAACTATATCTAATTTTAAGAAAACACCGAAGCCAAGATTAAATAAAAGTTACTTGAAAGTGAGGTTAGAAAGTTTAGAGAAACATTGGGATATCTTTGATGAGACACATAGAAATATAGTAAAGACATCTACATTAGAACAAAGAAAGAAGCATGAATATTTTGAAAAGGATTTATTTTCGAAATGCGAAGAAGAGTATTTGTTTTGCAAAGCAGATATCACAGAGATGTTAGAAAGTTTTGAGTCATCAAATATAGTCCAGGAGCCATGTACAAAATATGTAAATCAAGACGTAAAATTACCCAAAATAAATATACCCCTATACCAAGGCGATTATAGCGAGTGGATAACATTCAAAGATTTGTACACATCATTAATTCATAACAATAAAAATTTGAGTAAAATACAAAAGATGCATTACCTGAAGTCCAGTTTAACTGGCGAAGCTGAACAACTTTTGAAACACATACAAATTACCGAAAATAATTATGACATCGCCTGGAGTACATTATCTAATAGATATAATAATAAAAGAATAATAGTAAATTCAATTTTGACTAGACTTTTGGGACAGAGACGAATATTTACAGCTTCATCAAAGAACATAAAAGATTTATTAGATACAACAAATGAATGTTTAAATAATTTAAAGAATAACAACATTAATATTGAGAATTGGGATCCATTAATAATACATATAATTAGTAATAAATTAGACTCGGAGTCTCAAAAAACATGGGAAGAAGAATTGCAAACAATACCTGTTGAAGAATTACCTACGTTAGAAAAATTTAAGAAATATTTAGAAGGAAGATTTAGAGTAACAGAAATGATTCAAACATCTTATATGAAAGAGAGAACTCAAATTAAACCAAAATCGTTTGCTACAATAACTAGTAATGCTGTAAAAAGAAATACAGAGTATAGAAGTAGAAATACAGAATGTGGAAAGTGTAAAGAGAATCACGACATATTTTCATGCAAAGAGTTTATTAAGCTAGATCCAGTTATGAGAACAGAGTACATTAAAAAGGAGAGATTATGCTTTAATTGTTTGCGTCCTGGTCATAGTGTAAAATTTTGTAGATATAGAATGAGATGCGATATCTGTAATAGAAAGCACCACACGTTGATACATATAACTAAACCAAATTTAGAGACTATTAATAATGAGACTGAAGAGATTAGAACACCAGATAATCAAACAACGAGTCAACACAATATTCTTTCACATGTGTCAATACGAGGCCGTGTGTCATTACTTGCTACTGCTTTGGTGAATTTAGAAACGAGCAGAGGGCCACAGATTGTTCGAGCTTTAATAGACCCTTGCTCAGAAGAATCATTTATAAGTGAAGCAGTTGTAAAGAGATTACAATTGAAATGTAAAGATGTAGAAGGTCAGGTATCAGCAGTTGGACAGATGTCTACCCCGTTCAAGCACGCGGCGGAGATTGAGTTGTCCTCTAGAATGAATAAAAATTATAAATTAAAGTGTACTGCTTATGTAATTAAGCATGTTACAGATATCATGCCCGCTACAAGAATAAATTATGAGCATTGGACACATTTCAGTGGCATCGAGTTAGCAGATCCAACTTACCATACACCTGGAAATGTAGACCTTTTATTGGGTGTTCATGTCTACACAGATATTTTGATGAGTGGAGTTTTAAAGAGAAAGCAAGGAGAACCAATCGCCCAACAAACTTACTTAGGGTGGATAATATCTGGCGGCGAAGCTGTTGAGAGATTACCAAATAAGGGCCAAATTATTAGTATGCATTTGAGTGTAACGTTAGATAATATGCTACAGAGATTTTGGGAATGTGAGTCACTAGAGTCTGAGAATAAAAATACACTTACCTCCCAAGAAGCTAGAGCAGAAGAAATATATGAGAAAACAGTCATGAGAGATGAACAAGGACGATATGTAGTCAGCTTACCATTTGTGAGAGACAATCCAATCTTACCTGAAAATTCTAGGGAAATAGCAATGAGAAGATTAAGAGGTTTAGAGAGAAGATTGGCTGGAAATGAAAACTTAAATCGAGAGTATGATAATGTGTTAAAAGAGTATATAACATTAAACCATATGGAATTAGTAAAAGATGAGAGAGATAAAGATACAGTCTACTTACCGCATCACGCAGTTTTCAGAGATGATAAAACAACATCGAAAGTGCGTGTCGTATTCGATGCTTCGTGTCGAGGTACAAACGGAGTATCACTTAACGATGGGCTTTTGATTGGACCTAATTTACAAGAAGAGTTAAGAGATATTATCCTAAGATGGAGAACACATAAAATAGTTTTTGTGGCAGATATTATTAAAATGTATCGCCAGATAAAAATACAAGAGAGAGACACAAAATATCAGAGAATATTATATAGATTTAATCAAAATAATGAAATACAAACCTATAAATTACTGACAGTTACCTTTGGCATGGCTTCAGCACCTTACCTTGCAATAAAAACCATGAGACAGCTTGCTAAAGATGAAAATACACAGTATCCTGTTGCCTCGAAAATTGTGAATTCAGACTTTTATATGGACGATGTATTAACTGGTTTTGATAATGTGAGCGATGCGATAAATGCACAAAAAGAGTTAGCAGAAATGTTATTGAAAGGAAAATTTGAATTACAAAAAATATCTTCAAATAGTCAAGAATTTATGAATTCAATAGATCCTGAGAAAAGAGTGAATAGTATTGTATTAGATATAAATCATAAAGAGACTGTGAAGACTTTGGGTATTATGTGGGAGACAAATGAGGACAGTTTAAAAATAGCACCTACTTATATGAAAAGCGAAAATACTAATTTACTTACTAAGAGAAATATATTGCGCCAGATAGCTTCTTTATTCGATCCTATGGGTTGGTTATCACCTGCCATAATTAAAGCAAAGATATTTATGCAAAAGCTCTGGCTAAATCAAGTAGATTGGGATGAAGAACTGTCGAATGATCTGAAAGAAGAATGGAATAAATATAAAAATGATTTACCTGTACTGTCCGAAATCAAGATTCCTAGATGGAATGGAAGTACTATTGATGTGGAAGTGGAGTTACATGGATTTGCAGACGCCTCGCAATCAGCATATGCAGCCGTAGTTTATACTAGAGTATTGAGTAATAATAAAAATCCCTGCCAAACAACGTTGATTATGGCAAGAACTAAAGTTGCGCCTGTAAAACAAATATCTTTACCGCGCTTGGAACTATGTGCAGCAGCATTGTTAAGTAAATTACTTAAACATGTTATGAGAATACTTTCCATTGATACCAGTAAAACATTTGCTTGGTCTGACTCCAAAGTAACATTGGCCTGGATAAATGGCGACCCAAATAAATGGACACCATTTGTTAAAAATAGAGTTATAGAAATTAGAAACAATTTGAATATTCAGTGGTTGTACATTAATACAAAAGAGAACCCCGCTGATCCAGCATCACGAGGATTATTACCCAGTGTACTAAAAGAGAGTCATTTATGGTGGCAAGGTCCAGAATTTCTGCAAATGTCTAATTTTATGTTACCAAAAGATATAATTCCTGAAACAGAGTTGGAAAAAAGAGTTCAGATTAAATGTAATACGACAGTTATAAAAACTAAAGATGATGAATTTAAACTTACCTTATTGAATAGATTTTCGTCACTGAAGAAACTATTGAACGTTGTTGCCTTTTGTAGAAGATGGATGAAAAATGTAAAAAGAGAAAATATTAAACATAAAAGCATAGATTGTGAAGAAAGAGATAAGGCACTTACCGTTTGTGTTAAAATAGCTCAGCAAATAGACTTTACAGATGAAATAGAAACCCTGAAAAAGAAGAAAATTATTAAAAGATGTAGTCGATTATTACCATTATGTCCTTACCTTGATGAGAATGATGTTCTGAGAGTTGGTGGCCGTTTAAAGCATGCAGAGCTGAAATATGAAAGAAAACATCCTGTCATACTTACCAGAGATAATCCACTTATACCACTTCTGTTGGATGATGCACACAAAGAGACGCTGCATGGAGGTCCTCGATTAATGACTTCATACCTGCAAAATAATTATTGGATTATAAATGGCGGTCAAAGAATAAAGAGATTTTATAGACAGTGCAAAAAATGTGCTATATATAATGCTACTACTAGTAATCAATTAATGGGAAACTTACCTGACGTTAGAGTGAATCCATCTCGCCCATTTTCAATAAGTGGAGTCGATTATGCTGGTCCTATACTATGTCGAATGAGCAAAGGACGAGGAGCTAAAGCATATAAATCATATATATGCCTATTTATTTGCATGGCAACAAAAGCCATACACCTTGAGTTAGTCAGTGACATGACAACAGAAGCATTTATTTCGTCATTTAAAAGATTCGTTGCACGAAGAGGTCGATGTTATGAGCTGTGGAGTGATCACGGAACTACATTTATATCAGCAGAGAAAACCCTATTTGAGATGTGGAAACAGGGTAGAAACGAACTTCCTGAAGAATTGAGAATTTTGTTGGATGATAGAGGCACTGTTTGGAAATATATACCACCTGGCGCTCCTAACTTTGGAGGCTTATGGGAAGCCGGGGTGAAATCTGTGAAGTATCACCTTAAGCGTATACTAGGAGATACTACGCTTACTTTTGAGGAGTTATACACAGTCTTGACTCAAGTAGAGGCTTGTCTTAATTCGCGTCCACTAACAGCACTTAATGATGATTACGAGTATCTGACACCCGGACATTTCCTTGTTGGAGAGCCTACTATAACTTTACCAGACAGAAACTATGAAAAGGTAAATGTATCCAATTTAACGAGATGGCAATTGACGCAGAAAATGGTACGTGATTTTTGGTCAAGATGGCAAACTGAATATTTGTCTCGATTACAGCAACGTCCGAAATGGATGAGAGTTCAAAAAGATTTCGAGATTGGAGATATGGTCTTAATAAAAGACTCAAGAGCGTCTCCATCCAGTTGGCGCCTTGGTCGAATACAAAAGAAGTATCCGAGTTCCGATGGCCTAACTAGAGTTTACGATGTTCGTACAGCCACAGGTGTTATCAGCGTTCGGTGTCTAAACTTTGTAGACTTCCTGATTTCAACTGAGAATGATACGTACAAGGATATGGGCATATCCTTGGCGGCGGAGAATGTTGAAGTTGATTAAAAAAAAAAAAAAACAAATATATTACAATCTAAAAATGTAATGAGTCTGTGGTCTGTATTCAGTAGTATTAGAGAGTTGTTAAAATTAGTGGAATAAAAAGTTTGTTGAGAATAAAAATTGTGTGTTTGAGTTTTGAAGGTTGTTTTAGTGAAATAATTCCTTCAGACTGTTCTAAGCAAAATATCATGTCATGGCTTTAACATGCGAGAAATAGTTATTATACATGTTTTTTATAGTTTATATTAGTGTAGAATATCAAACAGGTAATAAAAAAAATAGAGAACTGAAATGTGCAATTTTAACGGTCGCAAAACTGGCACGCTTAGTGTGATAACATTATGTCGTTTTAATTTTGTTTTGATGCAGAGGTGAAATAACAAATGCAGAGGTTAAAACCTACATAGAGCAAATACCTTTCCTTTATGAAACAATAAAAAAATCACAAATATAATAGGTGTGTAATTAAAGTAAATATTAAATTATTATTTAGTTTTTTCAAAAAGCTATAAGGTGTACCTTATCGCTTTTATTGCACTTTTTTAAAGCTTTTAGTCCTTTCGATTCAAGTGACTTGAAATCGGGATTTGATATTGAAACTGTGGTCATCATGAATACAATTTTTTGTCCAATTATCAGATTATGTCTTCACAAGATCGATTTCACCTTGTCATTTTCTTATGCTTTTACTATTTTGTTACTTTACCTATTTGTTAAAATACTGTATGTAATTTTAATTCTAAATGTCAAGCTAAATCACAATAAAAACTGGTTGTTTTTATTGTGATTAACAATACAAACTCGGTAACATTGACCTTGACATTTCGTATAACTGGATTCAAAGTGAGACAACTCAAATATTTTAGATCACAAATAAGTACATACATTATACATATAGCAGTAGCGAATGGTTTTTACATCCTAAACTAAAACTGCAAATCTGTATCTAAACTGAGCAATAATTCCAAAAACTCTAAATATTTGAATTGTTGATTTATCTCAGTTTGCATATAACATACGGGCAGGTGCAGGTGTGCGACTAATTGCGGCAGCCTGCCACGTCACTTTCGCTCTCACCGATAAGTAGCGTCACGTTTTGAACATTTCAATTTGCCGCAATATTTTATAATTTTTCAAGAATCTATTTCTTAATTAGAAAAAAAATATTGATGGGCGCGTAAAAAAAAAAAAATTACTCACATTTGAGTGATGAAATTCAATAGCATAAAGAAAGCATAAGCATAAGTCGTTTGTGGCCCGGGTCCCCACCAATATGATGCCCACATTCATAAAGGAGGAATACTGACAGTGTGACAGTGGTCGTTAGTACGATATTTATTCGGCAGGCTATTTAACTTTTCCTGTGTATATTTACAGGTATGTTTATAACATGTATCTAAAATGATTACAATTAATTTATTGTATGTAGCTTGATTCACTATTGACTCTGATGTCTCTAACACGTGGTTTGTTAGGATTAAAATAGTCCTTCTTTAACAGATCAATGTAATTGCCATTCAGGGTTTAGCGGCTATGATGGGGCAACTATTATTTCAAATTGTATGTTTATCTGGCACAGGCAGCAGCAGGAAAAGGACAGTAAAAGAATGAGACCAGTCATGGCTTTGTACCTATATATTCTTGTGGTATTTACAATGGTTGAATGATAAACAATAAATAATATAATAGAAAAGTAGATATATCAGATGAGAAGGATTTGTAATTTGAATTTTTTTTAAATGATAATAATGTTTTTATAGATAATATCTAACTTAAAATTCATAGCGCTGACAATGTTATCTGATTGAGCTGAGATTAAGTGTGTAGCGGTTTCTATGTTGATTTTCGCATGCCTAGTCCTTGATAATGTAAAGCTAAATAAAACAATATTTATTTAAAAGAGCAACACACAAATTTATTGCTCATTCTTCTTGTGAAAAAATTGCGTTCCGAATGAGCGGTGGAATAAAAAAACTTGACTATTCAAAAGTGCTTGTATTAAGTTTATTGGAATAAAGAATATTTCTATTTCTATTTCTAAGGTATTCGGTCCGGTGCGACAGCTTGTTGATAGTCATTATATAAAACGTCGCTAGGCAACGGAGATGCCGCGCGCTATCCGAAGATTCGCCATAAGTCTGATATTACATTGTGCTTACAAGTCCTTAGCAAACTAATTTAAAACCAAACCATACAGTTCTGTAATAGAAAAAAAATTATGACGCTCTCTTAGGACGCTACACCAAGGCAATGGATTATATTTTGTCTGGATTCCAATTTAAATCACAGATCATGAAGTGGCAGTCCAAATAAATCATTTATTCTTGTAGGACATTTTAGCTGCTTATAAACGTCAAATTGTTTGTGTTAATAATTTTTTCCTACTATCCAGTACAGATTCAATTTACAAAAACTGGCAAGAAACTTAACTCTTTTTTAATAACCAGTTTATTTACAATGTATATTTATATAGGTGTCTATGTCTAACATTAAATGAAAATCCCGTGCATGAACAACTATTGCCATGCACGTTTGTCATTTAAGTAATCGTTTAGTGACTAATAAATAGGCTTTGCTCAATAAAAATAGATAGATAAAATATTTAATTCTCTCAAGATAATAATCTCAGTCACGGCTTAACTGATTAGTATGTGGTTTTGACTAATAAGCTTCTCTTGCAATTTAGTTTTTGTATTGTTATTGAAACTAGCTGACCGGTGCCCACGTCGTAGGTAACTTGGTAAACATTATTACTGTGATTATTTATTGACTGCCATAACGTGTGTTATATTTCTACTGCAAATGTATGTATGTATTTGAATGCCAATTTGGGTGGGTTTCAAACGAGTGAATGAAATAATTATGATTGCATAAAATGATGTTTATTTTAATTATTTAAAACTTCATATTAACATGTTGTATTAAAATCCGTCTAATAGATATATCACTCATCAGTAGTGGTTCCCTAACTTTGTCGTATTATCTTTTTAACCATTCGTCCAAATTATATGGCACTAGTTGGGAAAAGTCTTTAGTTTTAAACATTAGATGTGATAACTTTACTTATTTTGATAATAATTCAAATTTGTTAATAACATGACTTACATTAATTTAAATAAAATAATTTTACTTCAATTATTTTCTTGATATAATGAGGTGGGTACTTCTTTATGACCTAAATGTAGAAAGACGTATGTTGTCGATCACCTTTTTGTAGGCATTATTCAGATCTACAACTTTTTTCCAGAACTCCATCATGTACTTGTATCTTATCGTTGCGGCAGTTCGTAAGAAACGTTTTCGTTCGACCGCTTTTTCTTCAACTTATTCACTCTATTCTATTCTATTCTATTCTTTTAATTTTCTGGTTAATACATAGCTTATGACACTCACAAATAACGCAGTTTTCTATAGTTAAAAGATTTTTCAAAACCTGTTTAGTGGAAAGTTTACTTACTCCCTACAATCTCACAAGCTTACCTCTTTATAGTTAAAAATTATAATTATATAATTTATTAGTATAAAAATCGGTTTACAATTAAAAGAGTTATAAAACTATCGATACTAAGTAAATTATATTAGGTATATACAGTCTCGGTGGTCTAGCTGTTTAGTACATCGCCTTGCTTCCGATGGCCGCAGGTTCGATTCCTTGCACGGTACTAACTTTAGACTTTATCAGTAGATATGATTATGTGTATCGGTCTGAGTGTTTTCTGTGTTATGTATTATGTATAGTACAGTATTATATATTATGTATGAATTTACAAAAAAATATATCTACCCGTTGTGCAGTAGGTACCTTCCCATATGACATGCTGTGCATAGCTTGGGTGTGTGAATTGCCCAGAGATATTATTATTACGAGTACCTACTACGTGTACAAAGTCGGGTGCCCAGCTAGTGGTGGAATATAACTTCTAATGTAGTAACGTATTTCAGTTTAACGTGCAGAGCGGTGCAAGCAACCCTGGTAGCGAGGCGTACAGCGGCGGCGGCGGGGGCGGCGGGGGCGCGGCGGGCGCGCTCAGCTCGGGCTCCGCGTCGTCGGGGGCGCAGTCCCCGGGCTCCCCGCCGCACGCGCACCACGCGCACCACGCGCCCCGCCTGCGCACCAAGGAGGAGGACCTCTCCACGCACGGCCGGGCCAGCGCCGACGGTATGTACGGGGGCGGAGGGGGCGACAGGGCCGTCTTTCACCTATTAGAGGCCCTAGGCAAATTAGGATAATGAGGCCCCTATGACCACAGTAATAAAACACTATTTCGTTAGAATAGACGAAGTCATTTTTGAACATGACTTTTTAGATATGTATATGGGGATGCCCTATTTTGAAAACAAACCAGGCAAAAATAATTTTAAAAAGTCGTTATGTGATGAGGGGCTCAATGTCTTGAGCAAAAAAAATTGAACAAAATCGAACAAATTGTTAGTCGGTAAGGATTTGTTAAGACTGATTTTCAGGCGAGAGTAGAGCAGCTATCTGTTATCGTTTGGTAATGGAGTAGGGGCTAGACTAGAGTAGGTGGCCCCAAACCATCGCGGGGCCCAGGGCACGTGCCCAGTGTGCCCAGTGGAGAAGAGAGGCCTGGGGGCACAGCGAAATGCTTTCTTTAATCACTTATTTGTATAAGTTATAAAAAAACTTAATCAAAATGTACAAATAAAATGTACATTTCTGTAGACAATTTATCACTTAGGTGATAGAAGGAGGACGTGTAGACAAACTTGGGTTCTTTTTAAGTTATAGATAATTAGATATAGTTATGTAGGCGTCTCGTTTCTTTATTGGATACGACGAGACTCTTTAAGTCTGATATTTGTTAAAGAATTTGTTAGTATTGTCACTCAAATCGACTGACACGCTGGAACCTAAGTGGTCTCGGACAGAGCGGTTTCAGAGGAGCTTCCTCCCGCGTACACTTAGGTTGTGGAATGAACTTCCTGCCGAGGATTTCTCACGAGACTACAGCATGGGTTTTTTCAAGAAGGTTTTATTAAGGTTTCTTAAGAGTTGGATACGCGCACGTGTCACCCCTGGTGTTTCAGGCGTCCATACGCTACGGTAACCATTTACCATCAGATGGGCCGTATGTTTGTTTGAAAAAAAAAAATATATATTCCAAATTTGAAGAACTACAAGAAGAAACTTTGTTTTTTTTTATTGATGATAATGGATTGGAGCAACCGCCTGCGCTAACGGTAACGCTGGCGGGGCACCAGTGGAGGATGATAAGATGAGCATAAAGTCCGGTCAGTTAGCCTAGCCTATCATGGTAAATCCACCATGAATTTATCATGATGGTTTTCAAGGGGAACCGCGTGTAAGGATGAATGTACTTAGTAAGTAAGTAGTATATAAGGATTGATTATAATAATAAACGGGACAGTATACACTCGAATGTCGCACCTATCATTTGTCTAACTAACTACCCTTATATGGCGACCCTGCCAGGATTCGAACCTGGAATCTTCTGATGATGATGCAGGTCAACTTGAAGAAACTCGGGGTTGGGTCGTACATGTGTACAGTAAGGACGCAGCGTGATGCTGTTGTGTTTGTCGGCAGGTGGCGGATCTTCAGAGTCGGAGGGCGAGTGTGGGGGCGGGGGTGGCGGCGGCGGCGGCGGGGGGCGGGCGCGAGCACAGTACGTCAGCGCCAACTGCGTGGTGTTCACCCACTACTCGGGCGACGTGGCCGCCGTCGTCGACGAACACTTCACCAGGGCCCTGTCCATCGACAAACCCAAGGGTTAGTACCACTAGTAGAATAGAATAGAAAATCATTTATTCAAATAAACTTAATTTAAGCACTTTTGAATAGGCGTAGTTATTTATCATTCTTTTAATCTACCGCTCATTCAGAAAGATGTCTCATCACAAGAAGAACGAGCTAGAAACTTGCGTGTTGCTCTTGAAAATAATCATTGCAATTTTACATTTCCAATTCAAAACGTGCGAATACAAACCACCAACTAGCACCAATTTATTAGCTTCAAATATTAAGTACACAATAGGATTAAATCAGTCATAGTGATTAGAGCAGACCAGTCCCTACAAGCAGCACTCGTTCACGAGTATAACGAATGAGCCAGCCATCACTGCGCTCGACCATATTTTAGGGAGCCCAATGACCCGGCCCATAACACCGTCACATGTCTAGTAGTACATCACACCCCTCTGCATCAGCTCGTTTAACGGCCCACTTGATACCAAATAGCGAAGCACAAGTCCTAAGATGTCATTTCACAGCCCTTGTAGGGGTCACAAAAGCATCTTACTTAGCGTTAGTAGCTACCGGGGTGCCAATACATGTTTGTACAAACTAAACTTCTTTTGATTTTGGACTACTCTAATGCTGTTGGCAGCAGCTGGCCTTTACAGCTTCACCGGACGATAGGGGGCGAGTGCAGATGACACTTCAAAGGATGGAGTTATAGAGTGGCTGAAGGCCAGCTCCCGCCTGACGGATACGACTTTAGTCTGAGGGTACCGCTAGGGGTTCGAACCTCGGCTCAGGCCGTCGTAATATCGATCCCCGTTTGAATTGGACGGGGGATCGATCGGAGGGGTCACGAAGTACACATGCAGATAATCATTGCTACCTGTCGTATTAAGTAACTCTTACTAGAATATAATGCTACAATTCAACTCACTACCCTCTAGTAAGGGCGAGATTAACAAATATAATAAATTCATGATAAGATTTTTTATGTTACTGGAATAATATATTACTGGGTCATCAGATCGAAGGAGGACAAGGAAATAATGAATTAACGGACAATTCACAAATTTACAAACTCCAAATGTTTTAAATCAAGGTTTAATACACTAACAGTATATAAAGTAGAGAAAAGTAAAATTATTTATGCTATTCTAAATATAAATATTCATCATCGGGTAATACAATAGTCATAAAATCCACAATAAATCAATATAGGTACATACTAAACCGACAAAACTATCTCTATTCATGTAGGTCTGTTACAGACTCTTATGATATGTCAAATCTACAGTCAGTTCGGTACGATATCGAGATGAGAAGAGCTGACAAGAAACTCAGCTCGTATTCTTTTCACATAATACATATAGTTATATATTTGAAAGTAATTAATATAAAATTTAGAGCGATAATTTCTTATTCATCGGCCACTCTCAATTTCCAAATTCCGTAACGAGAACCTCTACGTGACTACGTTCACATTATCTCTCCGGCCGATGCCTCATTGTATTGATGCGCACTCCATGGAGAATTGGTGAAAATTAGTAATTTGGACCAAGTTATTATTTTCATAATTTTATATTTATATTATTTATAAGAATTTTACAAATACTTGAGCAATGAGCAAACAATTATAAAGTCTTTAGATTCATTAAGTACTATCTACTCGCCCCGGCTTCACACGGGTGTACTTGTATAATATATATAAACCTTCCTCTTGAATCACTCTATCTATTAACTGCTTCAAAATCCGTTGCGTAGTTTTAAAGATTTAAGCATACATAGGGACAGACTGCGACAGCGACTTTATTTTATACTATGTAATGATTACCCATCAAAGTTATTAAAGATATTTTAATTCAATAATCAACAAAATGTAAAATCGGAGGTTTGTTCCAATTCTTCAAACAATCCAAACGAAGCTGATGTAATAAGGAGTAACTTAGGCTACTTTTATTTTAGAAAAATAAAGTTAAATTCCATGCGGACGAAGTCGCGGACACAGCTAGTAATATATAACATAAATAGATTATTCAAAACAAAACACAAACATTCCGTGTGACGAAAAGTATACGGTATAGATGAGCCTGACTGCCAATGACATTAATTATATATCATATGCATTGAAAAACTACGTTTTAAAAGATGAAATTGATTCAATTTAGCTCACTACTCAATATACCATACGTTCTCCGAGATTTATATTCACTAGAAGTCAATTCGAAAATAAACAAAAAATTATGAATTCAAACAAATAATATAATTCAAAAAGTGTACATACAAGAAAACACTGAATACACTACATTAACAATTGGATGCAGGGTAGAGTTATTTTATGAATTTGACCGCTCTTATGTATGTAACATAAGAGTCACGTGGGTCGCAAAAACTTAAATAAAACAATAATCTATCACTAGAACGGTTCAGTAAATATCAATTTAGTATTACATCATGTCATTTGGGTTCATAATCTTCATAATAAGTTTCTGTCATATAACATTGCGCATTAGGTACATTGTGTGTCGCTTCCCTGCCATTTTTTCCGTAATTTGTGTTGCGAGTGGGTTGTTATAGTTCGCATCTATTTTTTTTATGGATGATAATGGAATGGTGCACTCGCCTGCGCTAACGGTTTACGCTGGCGGGGCACCAGTGGAGGATGATAAGATGAGCATGAGGTCAGGTCAGTTAGCCCACCGTGACAAATTCACCAAGAATTTATCACGATTGTTTTCAGGGGGAACCGCGTGGAGGTCGACCTGATATGGTACATTACTAGCAATAAGATCACTAATAACTAACAATCCCCTTTCCCCCCAGTTGGAATCTATTTCAAAGGCAATATGACGACATATTGCCTCGATCAAGTCAATACTTATTTTTTTATACCGAAACCCGTCTCCTGGAAATGTTTGGTAAAAAATTCTGCGAGATATCCGCCGAAGGATGCCCTGATTGTATTCACTGGAACCGTGAAGTCGTCGAGTTGTCGACCGCTCCTAACCAACTTCGTGAAGTGAGTAGATAAATCAGTGGAGAGGTTCTTGGACTCGCCTTAATTAAACCCACCGGTTTAATTACTAGATCCCTCGCGGTCCGCCTCCTCCGACCCCCTCCCTGCCCCCCCCCTCCCCTCCGCACCCCGCGCCCCCTGCACAGAGCCGCACCGCCCCCCTCATTACACGGACGATATTTGCCGCGCTATCGGTACGCCATCGTCCCACTACCGCGGTCGCTTTGTAGCTATTCTCTGTCAATTATTTAGCTAAACGGCTTCATTCTAATTTACAATAAGTGTACAAGTATAGACACTTAGAAGTACTTTGCTTGGGATGTATTTTTTTAATGTTTAAAGTGATATCTTTCGATTCCTTTTGGCCTATGCATTATTATTGCAATCCTGTATATACATGTTTTTTTCTTATTATACTATTTAATCTACATTCTTAGGATGAATTGTTGAGCGTGCGTTTCTGAACATTATTCGCGAATAGTTTTTCCTCTTGCATTACTACACGACTTAAATTATCTGTGGTTCTTCATATACTATGATTTCTATGAAATTTTATATTTGACACGTTTTCGTTTAACTATAACACCATGCACTTATTGGTGTTGCTATGCGAGTCGCATGCTCTTGAAATGATTCCATCTTGTGACTTCAATTAATACAAAATTGGGATTAACAAAATAATTACATTTTTATATTTATTAATTTCATAATTATATAGCATAAAACAAATACGCGGTCGTTGTCTGTCCGTCCGTCCTTATGTATGCTTAAATCTTTAAAACTACGCAACGGATTTTGAAGCGGTTTTTTTAATAGATAGAGTGATTTTAGAGAAAGGTTTATATATATAATACATGTACACCCAGGCGAAGCCGGGCCGAGTAGCTAGTTAACAATAAACATAGTGTCAAAATTAATACAATAACAATTGATGAAATAAAATCAAATGGCGTGGGCCGAGTTTCCGGCACTTTTCGAGTTAGCCGTCCTCCGATCTGTGATATGCGGATAAGAAATGACCGGTTCGAGTCGACTCGACGCGACGTCAGATTATGATTAAAAAGTAAAGCGAATTGTCAATTCAACACGAGGATGCGGCGCGGCGGCGGCCGGGACATAGTTCTGAGACGGCGATTAGATAAAAATACCGGGCCATTACTTAAAAGATGGCCGAAAAGAGCCGCTCCACAAAAACGCATAGCGCTTGCCATATTGGCGGCGAGCGGCGCGATTTGCGGGTCCACGGTCCACGGATCCACGGATCCACGGGTCTGCGGGTCCACGGGCCGCGGTCGGCACGGTCTTTGTGCGGCCGCGCTTGCATTCCTCGGACAGTAAAAACTATCGCCTCAGCCGCTGCCCCCGCCCCGCGCTCCGCTCACACCCGGCGCGCCTCTATTCTCCTCATTACGATTTTACCAAATTTATGTATCCAACATACGTTCATGTGACACCGCACAAACTCTTAGATTACAGTTAGGTTCTTTTTATTATAGTGGCCAATATTTTACCAACTAAATTAGAAACCAAATTTTGTTGGGAGCGGAAGCAGCTGTTACTTCGGTTAGCATACCTATCTCACTGTGATTCCTATTATAAAACATTACCTTTGTTTTGTCTCCTATATCAGCCACTAAACAGCTTGCAGTGAAATCATTCAGATGTCGTGTCTCAGTATCAGATAACTTAATGGCAACGCAGTATACTACTGGCTAAACATGACGCCGTCATGTTTGTCGATCGATCCCCTGTCGAATCAGGGATCGAAATTACAATGGCCTGAGCTGAGTTCGAACCCCTAGCAGTGCCCTTAGACTAAACTCGTATCCGTCAGGCGGGAGTTGACCTTCAGCCGCTCCATAAGTCCTTACTTGGTTTGGCGTGCCATCTGCACTCGCCCCCTATCGTCCGGTGAAGCTGTAATAGCCAGCTGCGGCCAACAGCATTAGAGTAGTTCGAAAAAGTTCGTTATGCTGTTAATCTACCTACTAGTGTTGCCAGACGTCCCGTATTTCCCGGGACGTCCCGTATTTTAGGTTTACTTTAAAATGTCGCGGCGGGACTGACTCTGTCCCGTATTCGAAACATGCACTGTTTTTTATTAATAAATCGATCGATCTACGCTAGACAATTTCTCTTTTGATAATTTGTCCCGGGTAATAAACTAAATTCTGGTATTTTTTTGCCTATTTAAGCGTTTGCCCCTTATAGGCTGAAGAAATCTGTCAAATCTGTGCTATTTTCCACTAGATGGCCCTCGAGCCTATATGCCAATTCCAGTTATATGTCTACATACAATATATGTAGAGAATAGAGGTCGCAGGCAGGCCGGGCCGCGCGGCCACTGGCGGCTGGCGGCTGGCGGAGGTCGCTGCGGTCGTTCTCACGGCTCGCATTCCGCGAACCGATCGTTTTTTAATCTCACTTCACTGAATTATTTGATCAAGCGCTAAGGGTTTCATACTGCTATTAATATTATCAAAAATACAACGTACTTAATAAATATGTATATTAGTAGGTACTACCGACCTTACTGTGTTTATATTCAATACTAGCTGTACCCGACTTCGTCCGCGTGGAATATTAACTTTATTTTTCTAAAATCAAAGTAGCGTAAGTTACTCCTTATTGCATCTGCTACCTGCCAATAAAAGTCCCGTCAAAATAGGTCCAGCCTTTTCAGAGATTAGCCGGAACAAACAGAGAAACAGACAAAACTTGTAAAAAAAAAAAATTTGGTGTATGTACCGCTATTATATATATTACAAACAGACACTCCAATTGTATTTATATGCACTCCAATTGTATTTATATACAAAAAATTAGAATCGAATCAGCATAACAAATAATCTATTTGTTATGCTGATTCGATTCTAATTTTTTGATGTTTAAGTCTGCAATAAATGTGGCAACACTAAGATTTCCACCGGTAGCCATTACCGATCTGCAACAAGTGCTTTGTAATGTGTGCTCGTACAATTAAATAATATATTTTAACCACTACTTCTTTTCACTTGAACGCTAACATTGGTGTAGTTTTCAATTTTAATAAAACACATTAAAGAAGTGTACTCGCCAAGAAACTGTTGAGCAGTTTGGTGATAACTACATCTATAAAACTTATGTATTTTTTGTTAAATTAAAATAAAATTTAAACAGAAATCATAGCGTAAGAAATAGAGCTATGTCTTAATGATAGCATTACATAACATCTAAGGACAACTTATAAAAATATGTTACTTTATATTGAATATTTCATTAATGAACACCTTATCGTGGAATGATCATCGATGCTGTATAGGTGGTTTACTTACAGCGTATGTGTGTTTGTGTGTGTGTGTGTGTGTGTGGTGTAAGCACCGTGTCCATACACGAGGCCGACCAAGGTCGCCGCGGATGTTGGCAGCGGGTTGTAACAGCGCGTGAAGTCGTCGCACCGTCCACCATCTCTTCAGCGTCGCCTTGTATACACGTGCTATGTAAGGCTACGTTACACATAAAGCTTAAATCACAGTCTGATTGCGAACAGTAAACTAGGTTCCTAACGTATATTCGAACTATACATAAATGAATCTGTGTTATTGTAAACATGTACAACATTTATTTGAAAAGAATACGAGCTGAGTGTCTGACAGTTCTTCTCATCTCAAAATCATTCTGAACTGACGGTAGATTTGACATATCATAAGAGTCTGTAATAGACCTACATGAGACAATGACTGATGATGCCTCGTTCAGATGCGAGGAGAGTTATAATGGTTGGAATTTAATCACCAATATAGAAGGCCGTAATGTTTCAAGTGGCAGTGGTCAGATTTCCGCACAGAATTGTGGTCACACACATGCTAATGGTAGTGGAATTAAACAAATTAGTAAGAATCCAGTAAGTGAAGTTCTTAATGTTACAATCGAGCGGGTTCACGCATGAATTGCCCAGGATTTTTGTAATTTAATACAATTAATAATATTAAACAAGTATTGTTGGTATAATGTAACAATCCCGTTTGGGCATAATTTCTTTTATCTTCAGTTGAGGCTGCCCACTTAGGGATGTAAGGTAGAGATAACTGTTTACCAAAACTTTTAGCCCCTTACACAGAAGTTATCGTAATTTTCTTTCCTCGATCGATCCGTCTGCCCAATTCAAACGGGGATCATAATTTGGACGACTTGAGCTGAGTTTCAACAGCTGAGTGAGCGGAGTATAACGGGGCCCTCAAACTGAATCGTATTTGTCAGGCTTGAGTTGGCCGTCCTCCACGGGTTTGAAGTTCCATTTGCAGTCGTCTCCTAGTTCGGTAAAGATGTAAACGCCAGCTGCGACTAAACAGCATTAGAATAATTCGAAAAACTTGATTAGATATGTAGGTTTTTTTATAATTTGACTATTCCTCCCGAGTAGGACGAGTAGGTATCGAAATTTTATTGTTTTTGCAATTATTCTTTAATGTAGCGTTACCTATATACCTATGTATTTTCGTTAAATATTTTAATGTACTAGATAAATAATATTAGTGTTAGTGCACCTTGATTTACTCCCGCTCCTACCGACCGTGTAGTAGTAATAACATATAGTATATCGAGTTATTTGGGACACTTCTTAATCCATTATATGTTACAACATAGGTACAATAAGTTTCTTGAAATATTTTTGCTTTATATGCTGGTGGGCACTATATTCTCACAAATTTGAATTTATAATGAATCTGTATTATTGTAAACATGTACAACATTTATTTGAAAAGAATACGAGCTGAGTTTCTTGTCAGTTCTTCTCATCTCGAAATCATTCCGAACTGACGGTAGATTTGAGATATCATAAGAGTCTGTAATAGACCTACATGAGATATATTGAATTTTGAATTAAAATTGTATGTATCTCTATACATACAATTGTACTGCTTCGAAACAGTCTTGAAGAATAAATCAAGTACAGTCACAATGTTAGGCTTCCGTTTTATTGTTTGTAACAGCTACTCCTATGGTTGTAAGTGGTTATCCTTACATTTACGGGGACGTTGCACCCAATTATTGCTAAATATTATTGTAAAGAATGGTTGTTAAAATTTATTAATGTATTATTTTAGTGGATGTTACACAGCGAGCAGGTTATGATTGTATTTTTATGTGGTTTTGGTTACTTTTGTTTTGTCGAATAAGTAATACCTACACTTTAAATTCTATTACATTACGTATAAGATTTAATTTTATAATTATATAGATTATCGTCCGTTGATAGCTAACTATATTATTATTAAAATAAAAGTGGGTCTAATTTACTCCTTATAGTACCTACTTATTACTATTTGCGAGTAAAACTCAAGTTTAAATCGATCCAGCCGATTCAAAGATTAGCAAAAACAAATAGACAAACAGACAGACATTTTTTTCTAAATGTATAAACTGTATCTATGTACTTTAATATGCATTCAATGAAACGCAGTTAATTTGAAATTACAAACGTATATTTCAATTTTATTTGTATAGCTGTATGACAATGGAGTTCATTGGCTGTAGTGTAGTGTAGCGTGGTGTGGCGTGGTGTGGCGTGGTGTAGTGTGGCGTGGCGTGGTGTAGCGTGTCTGTAGTGTGGTGGTGTTGTGCGCAGAGAGCGTGCCGATGGTGTCCCGCAACCTGCCGGCGTCGTTCTTCAACGCGGCGGCGGCGGCGGGGGTGGCGGCCGCGGGGGGCGCCTGCGCCGGCGTCGACATCTACGACTACGACCCCTGGCACCAGCACTACCCCGGGTATGTCGCACCACTCTCTACATATACATATACATATGTACTACTGGCTACCCGGCCCGGCTAAGTATTATAACTACTTACATGTAAATCTTTCTCTAGAAGCACTCTATCTAATTAAAATCCGTTGCGTAGTTTATAAGATCTAAGCGAAAGCGAATTTATTTTACTACTTAAAGATATTGATATAAAATATAGATAAGAATAGAAAAGAAAAGAAATATATAAGAAATCCTGCCAGTTAGTCTAAAACTCAGATTGGTCCAATTCAATTGTCATTTTACCTATTATGTATTAACGCGGCCAGAAATAGAAATAGCATTTTTAAATAGTATTTTTTTTTATTCTACCGCTCATTCGGAATGCAGACTCATCACAAGAAGAATGAGAAAGAAACTTGTGTGTTACTCTTTTAAATAATAGATTCAGAGCTAGAGATTTTTGTCTTGTGGCGTCATCCAAATTTTGTCCAGAATGGCAAACGAATTATTTCACCCTTCAAGCGTTGCCATTCCTGATGATAGGCGACACTTGTATGAGCGAGAATGACTGTCTGTAGATATTAATCAACTTCATATTCGTCACAAACTTGTGACATGCAATCGAGTCTAACAACATTACAACATAGTCTGCAACAGTGATGGATATGGTCCTACCTGCATGGGATTTAGGAGGATACAAATACCTATCTATTTTAATCTGTATTAGATGTAACTGGGATTACTCTTTAATAATTTAATTTCAAATGAGTCACAGTCTGGCGTCAGTCGGACAATCGTCACTGGCGGCAGCTCTGTGAGGGTAAGGAATATATTGTGGTACATATACGAAGCAGGTACGGTCACGCGGCGCACCGGCACGCGGCGGAGTACCACGCGGCGGCGCAGGCGCACCACAACATGGCGGCGGCGGCCGGGTACGGCGTGGGCGGGCTGCTGCTGGGCCGCGGCTCGCTGCACCACCAGTACAAGCCCGTGGACTGGCACGCGCAGCACCACGCCGCGCTCGACCCCGCGCACGCGCACGCGCACGCAGCTCACGCGCACGCCGCGCACGCCACGCACCCCGCCGCCTGCTCGCCCTACTCCTACCCCGCCGTGCCCGGTGAGTGAACATTCTGTGTCCACACCACGCTATACCATACTACACCACACAACACCACGCCACGCCACACTACACAACACTACACTACACAACACAACACCACAACACACTATATACCACGCTACACCACACCACGCCACACAACGCTACACCACACTACACCACGCTACACTACACTATATTTCACTATACCATACTACGCTACAGCACATGAAATTTTTGTTTAGTTAGACTCTAGGCAGATAGGTGGAGTCTCTCAGTAAACGAAACGCGAAACAGTGGTTTTATTCTGGGGAAAAAATGTAATTTTCTTATCACCTGTTATATATTTGGCTCACAAATGAATACACTCTCACATTGCACCGTGTACTACACACACATTCATACAAATATAGTATACTCTATAAGGTATAATATCTACAAACTACACAAGTAATAAACCATGTAAAATAACCCTAAGTAAAGCTTATGAACCCTTTTTACATGTAAACTCCTGAATATGAGGTGACTATTTTGACTAAATTTCTTAGAAGATAAATGTAGAACAACATGGGACAGATAAAATGAAAGTTGTGTATAGACATGTGAAAGGATGCGTTATGGGACAGAACCAAATTGACAAATGGTACATAAATCAGTTTTCTGTTAAAAAGAAAATCGTTGATATTAAAGAACTCGACTCTCAAAGAGTTTCGTTATAAAGTTAAATTTACGACGGAAGTATCTAATACTCGTAACCTTTATACCGAGATTTCTTGTAGCTTAGGTACTAAATAATGATGCCCCGCCAGAGCGGTTAGTCATAACACAACTTACTAAAACTGACAGTATATTAGTGAAAGATGAATTTATAGCATTTGAATGTAAATGAAATGCAAACATATATTTTCGTTGCCTATTTGTATAATTCGTCTGAATCTGATCAATAGAAAAACCATTTAAAGTGTTTCACTTTACGGCGACGAAAAAACCTATAAAAAACGAAATAATACGTGAGACGGCACGGCACATACTCGTAGTCAGGCTCGCTCCTTGCCACGTTAAAATTAAATATTCTCTGCTGAATGTGGACGACTCCACTGTTGCGATATATATATAAAGATATAGGCACATTGATTTTAGAAGAAAAAGCCTAATCCATCACATCTATACATATAAATAAAATTGGAGTGTCTGTATGTAATATTGAAATAACCGTTTTTTACATGCATATGAATATAAATATAAATAGAAATACGATACATACACAAAAAAATTTTTTTTTACAATTTTTGTCTGTCTCTGAAATGGCTGGACTGATTTTGACGGGACTTTTATTGGCAGGTAGCTGATGTAATAAGAAGTAACTTAGGGTACTTTTATTTAAAAAAACTTTTATTAGAAAAATAAAGTTAAATTCCACGCGGACGAAGTCGCGGGAGTAGCTAGTTTAAAATAAGTATTCCTGCTACTAAATAACAGCCATGTATGTGACGTGCAACCGTGGTGAAGACGAGAAGAAATTATATGTGCTGCTATATACATCCACTGAACATCTCCATTATGCGATCATTGAAATGTTTACAATTTTTATTTTATTTAATTCAGACAGCTAAAGGCCCATATTAAAAATACCTTACAGACTAACATATATATAAATAATATAATTATAGGAAAAGAAATATAAATTGTCTCTGTGATCACGTCACTGATGATGGTAGCGCCAATACACTACCCCATTCGGCCAGTAGTCCTCCTTCATGAAGGTGGGCAGCATGTTGGTGGGGACCCGGTCCCCAAACGACTTGAAACTCGCGTCGTGACTCGACTCCAGCTGCGTCACCCTCAATGTCAGGTTACTCCTGGTCCGTGTATTCGACAATGTCCTGCTCCCTGGTGGCGTAGATGCCTCTGACTGGTACATCTGGCTTTGTAGTCATGAGTTTACGAAGCAGCTCATATTTTAAACTAACTGTACCCACCAATTCGTCCGCGTGGAATATAACTTTATTTTTCTGAAATAAAAGTAGCCTAAGTTACTCCTTATTACATCAGCTACCTGCCAACAAAAGTCCCGTCAAAATCGGTCTACCCATTTCAGAGATTAGCGGAAACAAACAGAACGGACAGACAAAAATTGTAAAAAATGTTATTTTGGTATATGTATCGTATTTATATTCATATGCATGTAGTGAAAAACGGTTATATCAATATTACAAACAGACACTCCAATTTTATTTATATGTATATAGATTGTAATAAATTGCTATTAAGAGTTATGTATGAAAGCGGACGATAAATAACAGTTGTTATATTAACAACGACAATATAATATGTGGGGACGACCGCGCCGCCGCGCCGACTGTACGACTGTACGAGTATACGAGTGTTTCAACTATCAAAGAGATTCCACTCGTTTCGGCCGCAGATATTTTAATTGTGATGATTTAAGTCCTGAATGTGAGTGACAAAACAAAGCATTCCACCTTTGTGGCGTGCCGCGCCGCCCCTGCCTATTCACAGCGTCTGTCTGTCTGTCCGCGCTAACTGCCGCATCTTCAGTTACATCAGTTAGATGTATTATATAATATACTAGCTGTGCCCGTGACTTCGTTCGCTTAATTTTCCTCGTTTACGAAACACACGGGACTGAAGCCCTCAAATATTAATAATTTTCACCGTTTTTTAAACATTTTCCACTGATACTTCTCTCCTATTGGTCGTAGCGTAATGTTATATAGCTTAAAGCCTTCCTCGACAAATGGACTATCCAACACAAAAAGAATTTTTAAATCGATACAGTAAGTTCCTGAGATTAGCGGGTTTAAACAAACAAACTCTTCAGCTTTATAGTGTTATATATAAAATTCTCGTATCGTATCACAGTTTTCGTTCCCATACTCCTTCGAAACGGCTTGACCGATTCTCATGAAATTTTGTGAGCGTATTGAGTAGGTCTGAGAATCGGCCAACATCTATTTTTCATCCCCCTAAATGTTAGGGGTAGTCCACCCCTAATTTTTTATTTTATTTTACAGGGACAGCTAGTATTAGTATAAGTATATATTCTAGTAGGTAATCCTTGACTATGTACTCTTATTGATACGGTATTGAATTTAAGTGTATCATGTAACATGAACCTACTACATAATAAACTTCACGTAAGTTAGTGCTGCCGGAAAAATAATGAATATCCCATTTTCACGAATTGTTCATTACTTGTATATATAATTATTATGTGGCTATTTAGCAGGCATTTTGTAGGTATATCAATAGTTTTTGAACACAATTTATCTCAAAGTACTGTTAGTTTGAACAGGTTAGTTTGTTTAACATTTAGCTTTACTTTGAAATAATTAAATTTCATTTATTTGTTTAGTTATATTTTTATGGTTAAGGTCAATTTTAAACTTGTATAAAGATGAGTGGAAAATTTAGCTATAATATAAGTAGGTATATAATAAAGTGGTACATGTAGGGTTAACATGGTTATTGCGCCAGATAGTGGGGCGCCAGTCGATCGCACCCTGGCATTAAACATTACACGGGGGTGGGGGCCAGGGGCGGGGACGCTACGAGTTTCGTAAACGTCGACGGGAAACATTTCGCGTGCTCCGCGACCATCAACGCGCTGGAATTTAGATTCGTTTCTAAGGATAGGAGTAATTGCTGCCAGCGAGCGAGTGATTACGAGGGACGGACCCACGGCTCGGAGTAAAAACTGCGCGAGCAGCGGCGAGTTGAAAGGCGAAGCGGTCCCGCGAGGCAGCGCCGGGGAGGGGGGGGGGGGGTGAGGGTGCTCCCTTAATGATGACGATTAAAATTAATTTGCACGGCGGCGGGCCCCGCGGCCGCCCGTCTCATCGCAAATTAAATTCTTCTGCTGCGATCTGAGCCGGCCGCCAGCCCCCGCACCCCCCGCACCGCCCGCACCCCGCCGCCGCCGCCTGCGATCCTACGGCCGTCAGTTCCCTCGGCAGCACTCCCTTTTGTTTACCCGATCGCAGCCATTCACTTGATTGATAACATTCTTTCTATATAAACATAGAGTATGCCTGCACGCACTTCACAATTCAATAGGGGCTCTGCTTATAGATACAACATAGGAGTAGATAGGTACCTACTATAATCACCCGTGAATATTTTGGGTTTATTTAATCTATACATATAAATAAAATTGAGTTTCTGTTTGTAATATTGAAATAACCGCTTACTACATGCATATGAATATAAGTACGGTACATAGATACACCAATATAACATTTTTTTGTCTCTCTGCCTGTTTGTTCCGGCTAATCTCTGAAATGGTTGGACCGATTTTGACGGAGGAAGGTTTATATGTATAATATATGACCATCTGGGCGAAGCCGGGGCGAGTGACTAGTCATTGATAATTTAAAAGTAGTGAGTTATTGACACTTGTACCTTTTGGGTGTCTTGTTGCCACTCCGGATACTCCTATATGAGTGCGTGCGGGGGAGTGTAGCGTGTGCGGGCTGAGGGGGTGACGTTGCTGTTTATTGACAAATGCGGTGTGACCACACGTTTCTCCCCCTCGGGAACACGAGGGGATGAAACGTACGTAGCTATATTAATTTAGTGCATATACCTATAGGGAAATCTACAATTACGCCCAAGAGGTCGTTATTGAAATCTAGCTTACATAAAAAAAATGCTTTGTGTAAATTTTAATTTTTGACTCATTCTTTATGAAACCATACATTAATCAGAGACTCGCGGTAGGCTCGCCCCTTGACACGTTGATTTCAAAATATACCGAGCGAAATGTATTGCGTTAACCACAACCTGCACTGTTGACAATGCCCCTGACTACCCCTGCTAGGACAGTCTTGACAGTATGTTTATTTTTTGTAACAAAATTTTAATTACATTTGTCTTAGGTAAGTAAAACAATAGTAAATCTATGTAATGTATAAAGTCATATATTATAGTACGAGTGCAGATCCAATAGTAGGCTAGCTAAACCACGAGGGCGACGTAACCAACTGGCTCACTTTGTAGGGACGATTTAAAGTTCATGATATCGCCATAATAGCCGCACTCGAGTGGTGTGCGGGGCGGGTGTGGCGCGGGGCGGGGGCGGGGCGCGCGGCCGCCAATAGCCGCGCGCTGACCGGCGGCCGCGGCCCGGGATCGATACCCGGCGAGAGCCTCCGCCCGCTCCTCACTAAATCACGACTCGGCGTCAATTACGGCCACCAGCCGCCGCCCCGCCGGCCGCAATACCTTGCCGGCCAACTATTGTGACCGCTCCACATGTTTAATAACATTAGGCCTGACTATACCTATGTAATGTGCATTCGAGATATCTGCCTTCTGAGCGAACACTGGTTTTGGTAGTCGAGTGCAGACGGTTCATTTTGTAGACTTCATTAAAAGTTAGTTCTACTGAATATACTTACTTCGTATTATGAATAATATACTTATTTAGTCATGTAGGCTATTACCTGATTGATTATTTTATTACCTACCAAAGCTGGTATTATTATAGTTGTTAGTAAAAGTAGGACTGCTGGCGGGGCATCCATTAAACACGAAATAAATAATGGTGATTAAGTGATCTCTTTCTTTTTGGAAAGAGATCACTTAATCGCCATTATTTCAAATATGGGAATATAAATTATGACAATTCATGCACGGGATTTTCATTTAATGTTTGACATAGACACCTATATAAATAAAAAAAAATAATAAACTAGCTTTTTTTTAAACAAATAAGAAATTCAATTGAGTTTCTTGCTAGTTCTTCTCAATTGAATCTGTATACTATGAATATTGAACTGGATGATAGGGAAAAAATATAATATAAAAAAATTACGTTAATAAGCGGCTAATATGTCCTACATATAAATAAAGGATTAAAAAAGGAATGTAGCGACACATTCTCTCAATCAATCAAATTCTTATGCGATATTGCTAGTAAAGGGGCTAATAATCCCCATTATCTACGATTTCGCAGCCCCCTCTTTTAGGTGTTACGTCGACCCCCCAGGTGTTAAAAACCTGGACTCTTTATACAGATTCTTGTAGCACCTCAATTTACTCTACCTATGTCCATGACAATTTTGTCTCTTTCCCTATTAGGTTACTCTCCCTGAGATCGCCTCTGACACAGCTTCATTAACCTTATCGTTGAGTGTGATCTGCACGCGATCACCAGTCGGGCATGGCGGTCGACACGACCGCAGTCGTTGCCTCAGTAACAGGCCAACCAGTGCGCCTCTAGTACAGCACAGCGAGATGCGAGCGGCGACCGAGAGATCCTTATCGATCCTCACTCATCTCGAGCCCGGCGCCCATCGACCATTAATCTAACAGGGCCCAATGACGAATAGATCGTGCCGCACATGTCACGTTCTCCAATTGTTATCAGGGCGAACTCATCGTTATTAATTGTGGGAGCCGCGAGTGAGCCGCCGACACCGATTAACTAATTGTAGAGTGCCAACCAACGGACCTCGCCAATCTGTTCTCGTCCCAATGAGTTCACATTGTATTAGATATTGAACTGTCATGTCATACTCAGGTAATGCATGCAAGCATCTATGAAAATATGGTAAATAGGATATATAAACGTATAATGGTACAGTTTTCTTTCACACTAAACATTTCACTCGCAATTGAATAGTTCGGAAAAAACACTGACTTATAATGGTTTAAATCTAGCCATATTCGAGGCTAGGTCAGATTAAAACCGGTCATATTAGATCAGCGTACATAGTTTCGAAAAGGGCTGATTCTAGGTGACGTTGATGAGGGAAAAAGGAAGAAAAAGACTTGTTTAACCTCGACAGAATTGGAGTCGTGTTGTATCTAGGTTCAAAGAGTCTGATGGAAGATCGTAGGAAGTGGTAAGAGCTCCAGCGATAAGAGCGTTGATCTTAAATTTATGAATGAATGAATGATCCTCGATTAAAAAATAGTATGGTATAGTACTGACTTTTTTTTTATACTACTATGGTGGCAAACAGGCATACGGCCCATCTGATGGTAAATGGTTACCGTAGCCTATGGACGCCCGAAACACCAGGGGTGTCACGTGCGCGTTGCGGACCCATAAGAAACCTTAATATACCCTTCTTGAAGAACCCCATGCTTACTAGTAGTAAGTTGTTGACGTGTGTGTTTGTGTGCAGGTCTGGAGGCGCAGGTGCAGGACACGTCCAAGGACCTGTATTGGTTTTGAGGAGAACGCGGCGCGGCCGCCGACGACAGCCCGCCCCCGCGCGGCGGGCGTCTCCCCCCGGTCCCCCGCCCGCGTGCTCGCGTCTGATCTCGCCGGCGTGCTCGCGTGTGATGTTGCGAGCGTGCTCGCGTGTGATGTTGCGAGCGTGCTCGCGTGTGATCTTGCGTGCGTGCTCGCGTGCGTGCCAGCGTGCTGACCGCTACCATACTACTTAGGTAAACGACGGCTGTAAAAAAAGACATTGTATAGTTGTAGTCTTCTAGTAGTAATCTAGCGACCTACCTAGATATTATTGAGATATAGTTTGTATAGAATCTGTGCAAGATGGCCTCGCGGTCGAACGTGCGACCCGCGCGTCCCGCGCCGGGCCCTGTCCCGTGTTACGAGTATTATTGAAGTTTGTGTTGTGATAGACATTCGGAGTGACGTGTCCGGGAGGGGCCGCGTGCGTCGGTGGGGAGGGGTCGGCCGGCGGGACCACGCGAGCGGTACTCACCTTCGCGTAGTGTAACTGATAGCTGTTGTGTATATACGAGTTAAGTTCAGATATAATTAGGTAATATTTATCTAAATGGTGTGACATGTATTCGCGTAGGTGCTTTGCGCTGAAAATTGTTAAATTCAACATACAAAAAAATTCTACATTTGTCGTAGATAACTAAATATGTAGATATTGCATATAACACTGGGCCCGGTCGCCGTATGTACCCACTATGTAACAGTTGTATATATTCAGTGAGCGAGGGTAGCTGCAGACGGACGACAGGCTCAAACATTGTCATTATAAATAACATGTCCTTGCAATGAAAATTATATGTGACAAACATAATAAATAAAGTTAAGGGATCGCTGATGATTTTATTTACTGCACATTACCTGGCCGGTACAATATATCCTGTACAAATCCTATTTGTTTTTATTAATCAGAATGAAATGGTTCACTTACCTGCGCTAGCGGTTTACGCTGGTGTGACACCAGTGCGCGATGATAAGATGAGCATGAGGTTAAATTTGTTAGCCCATCGTTACAAATTTACCAAGAACTTATCAGGATGGTTTCCAGGGGAACCGTGTGGAGGTCACACCAACATAGTACAGTGCAAGTAATTGGTTCTTTGACCACATTATTAAGAATCCCATTCCCTCACGAATCCTGTTAGTGACTACATAAGTTGATTACCAGTCCAACCTTATCACCTGGCAGTGTATTGGATGGTCTGCAGATATCAGTATCTGCAGAGTACCTAGTATAGTGTCAGGTACACAGGTACAGCATACTATTGGTATCAGGGGCAGATCGTGAATTTGTGGAGTCCTGGGCTAAATCTATTTAATCATAAATATAAACACATTATAGATAGATACAATTGCAACATTTATTAATAGCCATATCTGTGTTCGAATCTTGGTATATGGTTGGTTCATGCACAGAGCTAGATATTTTAATTTTTTTATGTAGGTAATACTAACTGTAGGTATCCGCGACTTCGTGGAATTTAACAAAAAAGTTAATTAGAGAATTTTTCTAAAATAAAAGTAGTTTAAGTTACTCCTTTTTTTCTGCCAAAATAAGTCTAATAGTCTAAGTTACTCCTTTTTACATCAGCTACCTGCCAGTAAAAGTCCCGTCAAAATCAGTCCAGCTATTTCAGAGACTAGTCAGAACAAACAGATAGACAGACAGAAATTGTAAAAAATGTTATTTTGGTATAGGTACCGTATTTGCATTTATATGTATGTATTAAAAAATGGTTATTTCAATATTACAAACAGACACTCCAATTTTAGTTATATGTTTAAATTGCATTGAACTTCGATTAATTTACTTTTTAGAATCTGAATGTAACAAAATAGAATAATTGTATTGTATTTTCTTTTTGGTGGTGTAGCATGATTGTGGTTATTTACCTACCGTGTTGTACAGCGGGTAGATGCTAAATTGGAGGTAAACTATTTTCTCTAGCTTCTTGTGTTGTACAACCGACACTACCTCGATAGTCACCGCGACTCGCAACAATCATTACACAGTATAAAACAAAGTCGCTGTCTCTATCTGTCCGTCCCTATGTATGTTTAAATCTTTAAAACAACGCAACGGATTTTGAAGCGTTTTTTTTAAATAGATAGAGTGTTTCCTGAGGAAGGTTTATATGTATAATATATGTACACCCGGGTGAAGCCGGGGCGAGTAGCTAGTAAGAAATAAAACGTAGTAAGATTCTTTAACATAACGCGTAAAATTTTATAGGAAAGTAAATAACTATTATGTTTCCTACTTTAGGAGGCACACATGACAAACATGATTGATTTATATATATATATATACTTACATGCAGCGCGACGTGGTTGAGAACACGCGGCGTTTACCGACGGCGATAGTAAAGTGACTAGTGACAGTTTTTATACAGTTTCTGATAGCTTATATATGTATATATATATATATATAATGTATTCAAAAGGCGCGACATTTATTCGTGAATTTTAGCCGCTTATGAACGTCAAATTTTTACCGACGGCGTATATAGTAAAGTGACTAGTGACAGTTTTTGTACAGTTTGATACAATGTATATATATATTTATACTGTATAGATACGTTACTGACTTTATGATCAAAATTTTCTACGATAGTTAATGAAACTCGATAAAATTTTGTTCATATAATAAGGCAACTAATTTCAATGTTTCACACTAGTCAGATTTTCTTTAAAAAAGTTTTTTAGTATTACAAGTAACTTATAAACATGACAGGTGAATACTAAAAAATGATCTATCTTTGGCTCGTTCGTATGAACTATCCAAAGTAGTAGATTTAAAAATTTAAAAAAAATGTGCAAATAATTGTACTTATAATGAATTTTCAGAATAATAATAAAAAAACCTTTACATTTACTGTAATAATAAAATAAAGAGCGGAACGTAAATATTTACGGTAAAGTTATGATTGAAGTACCTACTGCTGACGCACTTAATGATTGGAGATTCAAGGTCTCTGAACACAGTTAGAACAAATACAGTGGACCCCCGGTAGTCCGACAATCATTTTGCAGGGCAGTGTCGGACTATCGAATTAGTCGGATTATAGAGTACTGCGTAAGATCCCTTATAGTCCGATTTTTTTTACAAAAGAGTACCTTGTAATCCGACAAATTATAGATCCAATGATGATTCTTTATATTATATACATATACAGTGGACCCCCGGTTATCCGACAAACGTTTTGCAGGGCAGTGTCGGACCATCGTATTTGTCGGATTATATTATAGAGTGCTGTTTAAGGGTCCTCTGCTTATAGTCCGGAATTTTTTACAAAAGAGTATCTTGTAATCCGACAAATTACAGATCCAGTGATAAGATTCTATGTTACATATGTATATATGTATATGCACTCTGAAGTATATTGTCAAAGTAATATTCAATAACAAATAATAGACAATGTCGGATTACAAGGAGGGCCGGATTAGACAGGGGCCGGATTACCGCGGGTCCACTGTACTAAACAATACTCAAGTTGCCAGAAAAAATATTCAAATGTTTTATAAAATAATTTCTTTGTAAAAAAAGCTTATAATATAATTGACCAATTTATAAATGACAATAATGTTTTTGTAGGAAATATCTAACTTAAAATTCATAGCGCTGACAATGTTATCTGATTGAACAGAGATTAAGTGCGTAGCGGTTTCTATGTTGATTGTCGCATGCCTAATCCTTTTTAATGGAAATCTAATTAAAACAATATTTATTTAAAAGAGCAACACACAAGTTTTTTGCTCATTCTTGTGATGAGTCTGCATTCCGAATGAGCGGTAGAACAAAAACAATGTGACTATTCAAAAGTGCTTATATTAAGTTTATTTGAATATAGATTATTTCCATTTCTATTAATACGTACATATAATAGTTTTATTGCGAGGACACATTCCACTTAATATTGGAGGTTAATATGTTTCGTATGTATTGAACGAGGCAGCCGTAGTGTCGGCCTGCTGAATAAAATATCAGCAGGTGAGTCCGCGGGCCCGAGGACGCGGCGCGGCGGCCCGCGCTAACTGCACGCTGCTGTCAACTGGCACGTCGCAGAATAGAATAGAATAGAATAGATTAGAATGGGACATTCTTTATTCAAATATATTTACATTTAACCACTTTGGATAGTCGCTTGTTCGATATAGAAACATAACTAATTCCGCACCTGATATTTCCCATTGTTGATATAGGTTGTTGTTCAAACAGCTATCTGTAAGTATCTACTTGTTAAAATCCATCGAGAATTTGAACAAGTAGCTATTATATATCTATGCATACCTATGTTAATTTGCTGTATGTTTAATGTGACGGTGATTTGAACATACCACTTTTTACCTATGGTCGCGGGTTCGATTCCTCGCACATTTGTATTCATGAATATGATTGTTTGTATCAGTCTGGGTGTTTTCTATATATATTATTTGATTTTACAAAAAAAAATGTATCAATGTATTTATGTCAGTTGTTTAGTATAACAGAATCTATTCAAAAGAGCAACACACAAGTTTCTTGCTCATTCTTCTTGTGATGAATCTGCATTCCGAATGAGCGGTAGAATAAAAAATATGACTATTCAAATAAATAGAAATGCTTTTGAATAGAGTTTATTCATGAATAAAGATAAATACTGCAAAAGTGCTTGTAATGAGTTTATTTGAATAAAGATAATTTCTATTTCTATTTGCTTAGCTCGGGACTAGATGGTGCTGTTCGGAGATATTATTATATTATTTGAATTTAGCTTTTATATTTTTTTAATCAACTTAATTAACTCTGGAACCAACTCTGGATAATTAAATTTGTACATTTTCTTGTATTACATACATATGAACAAGTGACAACTTTGTACAGTCATCAGAGTATACAGGAAAATATATAGATATACTTACTCTATACTCTTACAGTCAATATAAACATACTACAATTACATTTTTTTCTGTATATAAGTATACAGTGACATGATATAGATATGTGGCTTGTACGTACCTACTTACAGATAACAATTTTTCTTATATGTTTTAATATATTATTCCGCACAGGGAAAATAATTCTATAAACCTCTCGATGAAT